TGGAATCTTGTGGCCCAGATTGACTGAAGGGCTTCTTTTTTTCCTGGTGCAGATACCTCCACCCCTTACTCCCCCACTCCATCCTCCTCAGGCATCCAGAGGCCCACCAGCCAGGATAGAGGACGCTCTCCTCTAACACTGCTGGCTGGACTGGAAGCATCATCCAGAGGCTACTTCTTGTAGGAAAGGACCTTTTAGTTCCTTGGGCAGCCAGGGCCCAGGCTGGAGGACCCCAAGCTCCTCCCTGGTTCGCCTCCCTCCCTCCTGGACTTGGCTTCAGATCCTGGGCTTCAAATCTGCAGGGACAGATGGCTCCAGGTTGGAGAGGCAGGTTGCACTCAAGGGAGGTCAGTCCAACTAATGCAGGCCCCGGGCATGATCCTGGTGTGAGGGTCTCAGATGTGAACAACAGAAGCCCAGGGCCAGCCCAGGAAGATCGTATCTGGGAGGTCATAGCAGGTGCAAGGCCCTCTTCACAAGTCTCCTGGTGATATGTCTAGCTTGCCAGTGCCCATTCATCTCCCAAGCAGGGCACTGATTTGCCTGCAGAAATGAAATCAGAGCTGCAGGCCTGACAGGTGCCCAGCCTTTCCTGGCTTGCATGCCTCCAGTGACAGAGCACTTACTACCTTTTGCTGTGGGAAAGTTTAAGCAGAGGACTCAGTTTTTGGAGCTTTGTTCAATTGTTCTGTTATTGTCTTTGCTTTTACCCCTCTCTAGTAAGAAGAAACTGCAGAGATTTGAATGTGGTATTCCTGTCAGTAACATGTCCTAACACTTCTCTGTGCCAGGTACCACTAAACTCACTTAGGGCATAGTGGCATTCTTAGGAGAGAAGAACTTGAACAAAGGCTCAGGTTTTGGAGAGTACAGCTTGTGTTCAAAAAAACAGCCAAGCCATATGGCTAAAGGATATGGTGCCCAGAGAAAGTATCATGGGCAACTCAAACTCCGCAGAGAGTTATTTTGCACTGGAAATAGGGGTAATTGGGACCACCCTGTAAGATACCCAAGCTTTATGATAAAAACTATAAATTAGCCATTTGGGGAAATAAAAGGTGTGATTTAATCAAGGCTACATATTCCAGTCTGTTGGGGCCCTTGGTTAGAAATGAAACTTTGGATATTTAAGATTGTGGGGTCAAAATTACCTCCTTTCCCCATTTACAAGTAAGGAATAAGAGAGGAACCTGCCTTGCATGTCAGCTTGAGTTAGTGGAGTTAATGACAGAGTTGGATTCACTTGCTCCTTCACTGCCGTTGAGTCAGAACTGACTCACAGCTGACCCTCTAGCAAGTTTCTGAGGCTTTAAATCACCTGTCTCCTATATTTCTCCAGTAGAGCTGCAGGTAGATTCGACCCACCAGGGAGGTACAGCCTTTGGGTTAGCAGTACAACTCTCTGTGGACTGAGCCACCAGGAAGTTGTGACTAGCCCCTCTCTACTCTGACCTTTAAAACAAGGCATATTTTAGAAACAGAGTCAAAATGTAAGATTTAAGACTCCCAAGATCTGATTCATGTCACAAGGGGGATAGTGGTACATTTCATTGAGATAAACACAGCAGGAAGAATAACTTAGAGGAAAAAGGAATTTTGTTTTGGACCAACCCCTTCGCATCATGCAGGTAAAGATGTCCAAGCTACAGTAAAATATACATGCCTGGGGTTCAGGAGTCATTTAGCAATTGGATAGTAACAGGTGCTGGGAGGTGATGAGATTACCCAGACATAGAAAATGAAGATGAGAAAAGTGCCTGGAACAAAGCCTTGTTGAACTAAATGTTTAAGGAACGTGCAGTAGAGGTAACAGTCAGAGGCGACCCCAAAACCCCACTACCACCAAGCCCGACTTCATTGGATTGCCAAGGCTGTTGTCACTTTATGGGAAGAGACTGTCCATCTTTCTTCAGTGGAGTTGCTTAAAATTTTCATTGCCTTCAAGCTGGAACCAACGCATACATGGTTGTCCCTCCATTGAGTTTCCAAGATTATGTATCACACAGGAGGAGAGTACCCATCTTTCTCCTGTGAAGCCACTGGTGGATTGGAAATGTTTGAGAGCTGAGGCCTTTGGTTAGCAGCACAACTTTCTACATATTAGGTCACTGGTGCTTCCTCCAGGTGGACTCAAACTATGAACCTTTGGGTTTGCAATTCAACATCAAAAGCACTGTGCTACAAGGGCTCCTTACAGAGGCAGCAGAGAGAACCTATATTGAGTTGGTTGTGAAAGCATCCAGCCTGGCCTCTCTCCTTTTAAGTCTTGATCTTTTGGCCATGTCCCTATTTCTTATTTTCATGCTTTTGTTTCTTATAGTTTTTTCCAAGGCATCTGTCACAA